CAAAAGACCAGAAGATCACCTCACCAGCAATCATCACCCAGAGAAGCAAAGGTTACCACCAGGCACACAATCAAGCAGTGAACAATACCCTAATCAAGGATCTACCAAAGGAACAAAACAAAACCTCCACCTCCACCAACGCTGGCAGCACATGCCACAGTATATAAACAGAGAGCAAACCCATCCCATTCTAGCACTGAAGATGTTGCCTAGCCAGGTAATGAAACATTTGCAAGAAAAGAAGCAAGCTCAGAGAACCCCAAGGACTCCACAGTTCAACCCTGAGCTACACATATTCACTTCTATTGGTACCACATGTATTTTTAAGTAAGCAGTCTCCCTTTTTAGCCCTGCAACATATTTAAATTTTATCAGAGTTTCTAAATTGAAGAGCCTCTAATACTAGATTGGTTTAATGTCTTGCCATCAGCTGTTTTAGGCAGATATAAGAAAATACTCTATGGTGCTCAGTTACATGGCATAGGAGCTATTAGGAATCTACTGCCCGTTATATTGCGTGTTTTACAGAGATCTTAGAGCCTGCTTTATTTATCCTCAAGTAGTAAAATATCCAGAGCACACGGATCTCTTTTATACCCACAATCTTTTATCTGGCCAGTGAGACTATGTCTCTCTGGATTTTGCTAAGTTTTGCTATACAGAATTACTTCCAACCTTTCCTAATTGTTGTTGTTTGCTGACTAAAATAAAAACATTGATTGATAGATGATAAAGTATTCTATTGTTGTATATATACCATATATGCAGCAGTTTTAGATTTAAAGTTTTAGTGTTACCAGTATAATCTGTTTAGATTTTATTTATTAATATTTCAGTTAGAAGTTTTGGTTTTAAATAATATTATGAACTTAGTTTAGGCTCAGAATTTTAGTATTTAGTATTACTAATAACTTGCCTTTATATTTATATATAAGAAGTCACTTGAAATTTTATTTTCTGTTTTGTAATTCTTGTTGTTTGACCGCTTTTATGTTGGTTATTTAACATCAAAATATGGGTAAATTCTTAGGGGTAGGATTAGTTGATTTTTAATTTTTTTTACTGGATTAAGTATTGGTTCTAGTAAAGATGTAAGAAACCATTTGTACATTTTAATTATTTTCTAGAGTTATATTAAATTGTATAATTTTTACGTTCAGAGTTGCTTTGTAAAGATGGGGAACTACAAATGGAAGATTTTTCTGTAAGTATCTTTAGTATTAACACAACATAAAAGATAATGAGTTTTTAACTGAGCTAAAGTATTGAATTTTTTAAAAAATGGATGTTTGGAAATATTGATTTATTAGATTTACATTGTAATCTGAAGAAAAGTATCAGAAAAATCTGAAAAGTATTTTTATGTTTATACTATGATATATGGCCATAAGAGTTGACAGCACTTAAGCAACTTTAGGCTAATCTTAAACATGGTTGAACCTGGTTACTTCTTGGATGGGAGGATTCTAGGAAATCCAAGGACATAGGCTAGACAGGGAACTTAAAAAATAAACAGACAGAGGGAATGGCAAACCACTTCCATATTGCTGGAAATAAAACTATGTGTCCCTCTAGTTACCAGGGGCTGAGCTCAGCGTGAGGGAGTTTTTTTTTTTTTTTTTTGGCATGTTCTGCATGAAAATCTAAAATACAAAAATGGCAGCCAAACCCACATATCTGAAATTACTGAGTTAATGCTAGTGATGATTGAGAAGTGCTTTTAAAACTTGTTCACATTAATTAGTTACTTATATACATGATGCACACCTAAGCCTACTAAGAAGCAAGTTCCACTGGGCTTAGCAGAACTGTCAGGTAAAAATGTTTTTTTAAAGATTGTAGGCTGTGTACTGTATTATGTATAGGATTATTAAGATGAATTCATGATTGTTGACATCTTAGCATTTTGGATGTTATTGTAATTTGTGTATTTCTGTGTAAATAGAGATCTCTAGTTGCAATTACATATAAATATTTAACTTCAAGATATGTAATACACTAAGTCTCCAAGGTTGACAATTTTCTACAGATTATTGAATGTCAAGCAAAATGGTAATAATATAGGGACATTCTGTTCATAACAAGCTTTTAAGCGATCTGAAGTATCTGCCACCAAAGTATGGCTGTGAAAATGGAATATATGAAGTGGTACACTACTACAGCATTTTATAATGCTGAGTAGTGTAGCACTTCATATATTCCATTTTCAACATTTGACAGCAAATGTTTAAATGTTTAAATCTTATACTGAAACTTCTCCCATGGAAATTAATGAGATTTTAAAATGCTTCATTTGGTTACATCATATCTATAGTTTATTGCTGTTAATATATTTTTTTCTCTTTGTCAGTTTCCTGAGATCCAAGCTACGTATCTTCGAGTCATCATTTTATCTGCTTTTGATGCTTTTGTGTCAGTTCATAGGGTGATAGCAGAAGGACTATCGCAAGAAAGTTCAAATTCAATATTTTGATTGCAATACATTCAACACTATATTATAAACCTTTTTAAAAATGTAGCTGGCATTAATGCAGTATAATGACTCTTTAAGTACACTAACTGCAGTTGGCTTTTAATCTTCTTAATGGAAATTTGTTAAAAATCTCAACTGATGAACATTGTTTGAAATGGTAATATTTATATGATGATGTATATTATAGCTGAGGTGGAAAAATAGTCAAGAATGTTCATTCATCAAAACCTCTGTAATGTTGCCCAATATCTTCAGTGCAGCTTAACTGATAAGAAATAGTTGATCTAGTCTGGGCCAATCTTTCCTTTTAGACTGCAAGGTTCCACTCCATCATTTTATCAAGTGACAGTCACTATATAATAAGATGATACCATATTTAAAGAAAACAAATTCAAGCTGGACAAGATTTTTGGACACAGTTTAATATTATTTAATTTAGCATCTTGTTTCTATAAATATTTTTTCCATATCAGGTCATAGTTCTCCATGTTTTAAACTATGACTATCATAAACAAATATTAATAGAAACAAAAGTAAGAAAATTATTACAACTATTCCATTCAGAAAGTTCTTCTCTGCAAACACCATTAAGTCTAGGCATGATTGTGCTTCTATCCTTAAGTGAAGAGGTCTGGGTTCAAAGGATCATATGCACCTGCACATGTTGGAGTTTCATAGTAGTCATGCATGTAAGTCTGTTACAAATACCAGCTGGTGCTGCAGCAATGTCCTGTGTAGGCATCCAGAAAGTTTGGTTCTGTACAAAGGCTGCTTCTGTTCAGAATATCTTGCAGATCCAAATGACCACAGACTAACAATTCCAAATACAGCTCTGTGGGAGGAATATGATTGGGAAGTGTACGCTGTCATGCTCCTGTCACTAAAGAAGAGATCACTGGCCTGTTTGACCATTGAGGAGCTGTTTTATATGAAGCAAGCCATCATGTGATCCTGACTATTTCCATTATGTCATTTCAGTTCCATTTTTAAAAAAATTAACCATGATTTCAAATATGATTGAAACTCTGGTGAGTCATTTCAGTTGAATGGCTTGCTTACCCAAAAAAATCACAAAGATACTTTTCAAATGTCTAAAGCAATATGTGCATCCATTGCTGGCAATTACAAGGATGGAGATTAGCATTTGCAAGTAATCTAGAGTGAATATAATAAATAGATGGTTAATTTATTGTTTGTGTTTGTATTTAATTGAGAGTTTATGACTGCTGATTACATAACAATGTACAAGTTTTCACCTTTACCCTTTCTAAATGTATACAGCCCCTTCTAAATAAAAAATACTTTTAAAAAATGTAATCAGGCAATGGAATCTGTGTGCTGCTCACAAACAGGTTGCTTTGGGGTGGTTTTTTGGATTTAAAGTTCTTCCAAAAATTCACGTACTTCTTGTGGACAATAATGCCAGGGTCCTGGTCTACCCTGTAAAAAGGAAAAAAAAAATCCCTTGACCAATTTCTAAGAAAGGGAATATAGAGTATAGGCAAAAGATCCTAAAATACTATAAAGAGATTAAAAATTATAAAATATTATACAGAGATTAAAAGATTAGGCTTTTCATGAAAGCATGTAGTGTAAGACTATGTAGCATCTTGCAATTATTTAATGCAATTTAATAATAGGATGCCAGTTATTTCAGAATTGGGTAAAGTAGACAAGATTACATTTCCCCGACTGAATTAGATGCTATTTTCTTTCAGATATGGAAAATAAACAGCAAAACATAAGATGTTGCATGAAAATATGCATAACGATGCACTGAGTTTACTTGTTTTTTAAAAAAAGCAATTCCAGACAGCATTTTCCCCCAAGCCAACTTATCTCTCCCACAAGGTTTCAGGTACATGTTTAGCTTTGCAAGCAACCAGGCCTTACTGTACATCATATAAATATGTACAGTAATAACTTTTTTTACCTTATACACAACCTTTCCCTTTTGAAGCACATACAGTCTTTCTGGCAGAGCTGCATATTTATTACTGCTCAAGTTTTCCATTGTGTCTAGAACCACTGGACATAAGGGTTGCTCTTTTAGGAGGATCTGTGCAGCCTGTATACGATCTTGGAGGGTTTGGTGACTTTTAATGACAATATTGTTCTTAAAAGCCCATCCATCTAAAACAAAGAACACAATTAGACTAATGATATTGCATATGTTCATTCTTACATTTAGTAATAGAAGTGGGATCTGTAACAGCATGGAGTTTCTTGGTTTTGTACTGTAGCAACTCCACTTCCATTCCTATTTTCTTTTTCCTTCCAGAAGTACAAAACCATGAAACTGCCAAGTCTTATGGGCTATTTCTTATCATGCCTACACCTAAATGACTCTCTACAATTGTCCTATCATCTTCCAGAGTTGTTTTTTTTATCTGCGCTCAGTCGTTACCGACTCTGCAGTAACTGCTTGGACGAGTCCTTGCAGTTTTCAAGGCAATTGTTTCGGAAGTGGTTTGCCAGAGC